TTAATGAATTATGTCGGATCACTCGAGGGCTTTCATATCCAAAAATAGTTTGTGTTCGCGGAGAATTTTATCGTTGAATTAAGTTCGTGCCAACGTTAATGGAAGCCGTATAAAACGTAACGTTTGAATTTTGACGTAGTTCTGCGATAATTGCTTCACAATTATTCGATAGAATTTCCTGTTGGTTTTCAAATTTTTATAAAATTTCTGGAATAATCTTATTTGTCTCGAATGTTATTACGCGTATCAAATTACTGCCAGACCAAGTCATCATTCAGAAAAAACGCGCTTGTGCAGCTTTCTGATTACTGGAAACAGCACAGAGCTTTGATATAGCGTTTATGAAAATTAGAGTAAATATGCTGAAATTCTGTAACGCAAATTCACAGCTTTACTTTTTAAATGACCCTAAATTTTCATTTAAACCATGATATATTTTTAAACGTTAAGCATATGAAAATGTTTTTTACACTGAGTATCCAAATAAAAGTTTGTATATGTGTGAAGTGCTAGATCTTATTAGATTCCAGGTGTCTGAGTGCACGTTATAAGGTATTTTCTTTCCTAGCGTGCCTTCGTGGTGTAGTGGTCAGCAAACTGAGCCGGTATTTCAGAGGTCCGTGGTTCGATTCCCGGTGAAGGCGGTAGCTAATTTTTCATATTCTCCTTCCCAAAAAATACCTAATGTCTCTAAAGTGGCACCCGAATTAAAAAAGAGTTTTGGATGATGATTTTCCACACCCGGGATTTGGCGATTGGTTTCCCTAAAAAGAAGCCCCAGTCGCCCTTTAAAAGGGGGAATATATAAGGTATTTCTCTCGCCTTCCTAGCGTGCCTTCGTGGTGTAGTGGTTCTGCACACTGAGTCGGTATTCCAGAGGTCCGTGGTTTGATTCCCGGCGACGGCGGTTGCTAATTTTTCAACTTGCCTGCTTCCAAATTAATAAACTAATGTGTCTACAACGTAACTTAGGTTACATTTATCTTGTTGGAGCAGAGAGAAAACATGGAACGAGTTTTTTTGCCGTTACTGAATTGTCACGTAGTTTGACTCGTTATTTAAATTCCATTAAAAAAACTCAGTAAAGACTCTAATAATTCCGCAATACATCTCTTAGCTCCGTAATTGGCTTCTATTTTTTTGCATAGAACCTATTGTTATTATCCTGTAAGTACTGCTAATAAAATAATATGCATGATAAATTACAAAATGAGTAATTAAATATTAAATAATGTAATAAATAAACGTAAAAAAAAAAAAAAAAAAAATTTGGTTAGAATAGACTTGAAGGGTACCACCCTCTTGTATTATCGCAAAGTTGATTCATTTATCGCCAAGTTGTTGTTTCGTTTATCGCCAAGTAGTTGAATGTTCCGTAAATATACTTTTACCTAGAATTGGGTGCTCCTTAAGTGAAAATATATCGATGTTAACATGGACAAAGGGAGTGCGCAATGCCAAGTTTGAGCAATTCTCTGATGATTTTTAAGTGAAAATAGGTCGACGTGTACATGGATAAAGTCAAAATAGCAAGGTCAAAGAATTGCACAAACTCGGCATTAAAAAAAAAAAAAAAAATTCTGAAATGTTTCAGATTTTAAATTACGTCCAAAGGGCCGTTTTTTTTAACGTTTTGTTTGATATCTGCATTTATTAAATATCATGTTCTTTGCACTTAAACCAGAAAATTGAGTTCAATACCAATGTCGCAAAATAATTTTAAAATGAGCCTATCTTTAGAATTTCCGATAGACAGTTCCGCGCGCTGGAGATAAAAAGGTTCCCCCCCCCCTCGTAGAGTGTTGCCATGGCTCGATTTTAAATAGTTGAGTTTGTTACTCAAAAATTCGTTAAAGTTTTACAAAATATGAAATCGATATTAAAACAAATTCCAAATTTCAAATTTGGGATTTCAGATGCCCATATTCGCAGTAAGATGACGCCGTTCAAAATTGGATGGCTCTAGATACCGTTGTTTTATCACAATGCGAGAAATATGCACACGTTTATGCAGATTTTTCATTATTTAATTTCTTCAAATATAATGCAGGACTCTAACATTTTGTGGCAACAGTTTGAAAAGTGAACTGACATTTATAGGAGTCTGACGCAAAATGCCAAAACGAAAGTAATAGTCCTTCGGGGACTCAGATCCCTTTGGACAAAGAAAAAAAAAAAAAAAAAAAACGTGATATGAGTTTGAGTGTGGAGTTCTATTTTATATTCGAGTTCTTTTAAAGCTCCGAATAGTGAAGTGCAGTTTATATAAAAATGGATAAATAATTAAGACGTAGATATTTGCATAAAACTGCTACAACTACTATATAGTTTCGATTTGGCCTAGGAAAAGCAAGTTTTTGGACCTGCAACTAAACAGTCCGTTTCAAAACAGTTTGAAAATTCACAATGATGCTTCAGTTTACAAGTCAAAGAGTCAAAGAACCCATGTAAAAGTCCTCCAAGATCGTTCAGATATTACTTCTCGAAACGAAGTGAGAAAGACAATTGGATTTCAGATCCTATTAATGAAAATTTCTTTGAAATAGCCTCAAAACTGATATACTCTGAAAAAGAAAATCTTATACTTGACTTTACTGATTACTAATTTTGTGGTATTATAAGGTATTTCTCCCGCCTTCCTAGCGTCCTTCGTGGTGTAGTGGTTCTACACGCTGGGCGCCGGTATTCCAGAGGTCCTTGGTTCGATTCCCGGCGAAGGCGTTTGCTATTTTTTTATCTTTTCTTGCCTCTAAAAAAATCCTAATGACTCTACAAGTGGCGCCCGAACTAAAAGGGTTGTGAATGATGATTCTCCGCACCCAGGATTTGGCGACTAGGTTCCCTAAAACCCTAGTCGCCCTTTAAAAAGGGGAGTATAGAAGGTATTTCTCCCACTTCCCTAGCGTGCCTTCGTGGTGTAATGGTAGCACGCTGGGCCGGTATTCCAGAGGTCCGTGGTTCGATTCCCGACGAAAGCGGTTGCATATTTTTCATCTTTTCTGCTTGCAATCAACCTAATGACTCTACAGTGGCGCCCGAACTAAAATGGTGCTGAATGATGATTCTCCTCACCCAGGATTTCACCAGTCGCCCTTTAAATGGGAGTAAGGTATTTCTCCCCGCCTTCTTAACGTGTCTTTGTGATGTAGTGGTTCTGCACACTGGGCCGGTATTCCCAGAGGTCCGTGGTTCGATTCACGGCGAAGGCGGTTGCTAATTTTTCATCTTGCCTGCTTCCAAAAAATACTTAATGTCTCTACAGTATTAAAATAAAAACATCGTAAGCTATATTGCAAGAATACAGGTTCTTAAGGAGAAGGTTAGGGGTAGGTACTTTATAATTGCTGTCTCGTTAAGTGGTACGCAAAATAAAATCTCGTTAAGAAACAAAAAGATTTGGGAACCGCTAATTTATAGAATAGTGGTGTTAATGTGAAGGTCATAATAGTTCCATTAATTATAAATTCATTTATGCTTTACCTAAATTTATGAATATAATATCAGTCTCAGAATTCAGTTTAATTCCGGAGATTGCTAGATATAGATCCTAAAGCATTTACAGCTAATTAAATATACATTTCGCAATAATTTGCGGCTTCGCTACTGTTGATATATCAGACTGCGTGAACTGAGGTACGGGGGCCATTGTACTCCATTGATACGTGTTTGAATTTCAACTTGTGAATCTCGCAATTTATGAAATTCCCCTTAGTCACCAGAAGAGGGCGATGAGAAGTGTCATCGTCTGCCACACGAGGGTGGATAGAAACGTGAGCCATCACGAAATGGATGTACTGCAAGGGATGGCTGCAAGATTCACATGCGGGGGGGGGGTCGTGTTGCTGCTTTGATGCTGTGAAAGGCTAGGCTTCTCGTACTTGGATTGTACGATTTGCTCCAAGATGACAAAAACCAGATTTCTTTTCTTTTCTTTTATTTTATTTTTACTTTTTCCTCGAGCTGTTATATCAGCTTTCGTGTCTGATTTTTCCCCCCCTTTCTTTATTAATTGCTTAATGTCTTCGAAACTGCGTATGAATTGTAGTGATTACAGAATTGCGTTATTTAGCACTTTACTTATTTGTTTATTGCATATTGTCAGACCGACGCGGTAGTAGACGTTCTTGTTCACAACGTTTAAAAGTTGTCATATCCTTTTTTTTTTTTAAGCCCAGAAGGGCTATTAATTTCGTTTTGGCATTTTGCGTCGAAAACTTTAAAAGTGTGAATCACTTTTTAAATTGTTGTCATCAAATACGATCGCCGTGTATTATATTTAAAGAAATTAACTAATGAATGAAGAATATGCATAAATGCACGTATGTTTCTCGCATTGTCATAAAACAACGGTACCTAGAGCCATCAAATTCTGAATAACGTACGTCTCCACCCGAACATGGACATCTGGAAGCTCAAATATGGAATTTGTTTTATTATCTATTTCATATTTATGAGTATTTGATAATGAAATTCAACGATTTCAAAGGAAGCAATGGCAACACTGTACGGGGGGGAAACCTTTTTTATCTCCAACGTGTCGACCTGTGTATCGGAAATTCTTCTTTCTTAGAATAGGCTTATTTTAAAATTATTTTCGATATTGCTGTTGAATTGGATTTTATGATTCAAGTGCGAAGAACATAATATTTAATAAATAAAGGTAACACACAAAGCGTTAAAAAAAACGCCTCTTTGGGCGTAATGTAAAATCTAAAAGCTTTCATTTTTTTTTTTTTTTTTTTTTCCCCACATCTAGATATAATTGAGCTAATATTGGAAAAAAATTTGAAAGTACAGTATTTGTAGAAAAGAAGATTGAACGCACTTTTAAATCCGTGGAGAGAATTTGGCTTGAAAATTTCAGCAGATAATTTACAGTAAATAGAGGAGACGACTGAGTGTCTGTTTTCGTCACAACCGATGCGCATATTTATTTTGCATTTGTTTGGTATTAGTTTCAATCAAAAATGTTCACTAAGTTTCTTTCCGTTTATTTTCAGACTGCCAGCCATGCACAGATGAACAACTGCTTCGACACTACTGCACAAGTGATTTTGGTAGGTATTTACTATTTATTTTTGTTCATTACGAGTAACTCCATAGAAAATATACTAGTATCATAGCCTAAACACATAAGCACGCTTTCAATGAATTGAATTCATTCAGAAAAATCAGATAGTTGATAAATATATTGATGCATAAATCAATATATTATCAAGTATGTGGCTATTGAAACACGCGGAACAAAGTGCAATGGGTTGCATAGTTTTCTGAGAACTATCGAGTTTAATATTTTCCTTACATATTGTGCTGCCAAAGATAGTACTTCTGGATTTGAACCCGGATCTTTAATAAAAAATTTAGTCGTGGAAATCTTACTGAAGTACGCTGCACTTTATGCTTCTTAATATTTTAAAAGATGCCGCTCTGATCGTTAGCGCGGTACTGTATCGTTGGGCTTCAGTTCAAATCTCGGAGAAGACTTGAATGCTTGTACGTGCATAGTATCTGTGCGGCATGGAGGCTCTCAAAATACTTGGCGAGGCGAAAGTCGACAATTTTTATGATAAGGAAAGAGTGGGGGTAAGACCCTCTGTATCGTCTCAATCAAAATTGCGACGGGCCCTCCTCACTGGTGTAAAGTCGCTTGCTCTCTATGGTGCATCTCGGGCAATGTTCTTGGTGATGATACTGCTCAGTTGCGGTCCAGTCGTAAATGATAAGGAAGGGAAAACACGGGAACACTAGAGATTGAGGAGAGTGTACGCTTCGGGGATGTGGAAGAACACTGGAACACAGGCACTTGGAAACCCGAATTTGAAATTTGTTTACTGCCTATTTCATACTTTATAAAACTTTAAAAAACACAGTAATTTCAAATCGAGCAGTGGTAACACTGTAGGGAATAAATCATTTTTATCTCCAGTGAGCGAGACTGTCTATCGGAAATTCTAAAGATATTGTTGCGTTTTTCTTCTGACACCAGGTGTTACGTTATTTTCTTCCTTCACGTTCGTAGATTTGGAGTGAATAACGAAGACACTGGATGAAGTATAGAAACACACTTTATTGGCCAGTATTTAATCAGGGCAGTTCCAAAATCTCGTTTACAGTCGTCGAACTGTTATAAACACGCTGACATGATCAGCGACACAGCTTTCAGGTTATCAGACTATCACGGTGTAGAGAGCTTCACTGCAAAGCACCAGAATACAGCTCCCGACTCTGCTCGGTCGTTCTCGAAACTCCACGTACTCTCGAGACTCTCCACGCTACAACTCGCGATGCACTCGACGACACACAGAGCACGGCTCCCGACTCTTCGGTTCAGTCGTTCCCGGAGCTCAACACGCTCTCTCGACGATGCACTAACCGCGATACAGTAAGAGACTCTTCGATGCACTCGACGACGCACTCGGCACTCGCTGCGGACTGTCAACACGATCGACTCCGCAGGGATTGACTCGCTAGACGAGACACCAACTCGATACTAACTATCTCGCACTCTAGACGAGGCATATACACTGACTGCGGAGCAGCAGGGTTTATATAGCTTTCGGCTTGTGTTCGAGAACATTCTGGCCTAAACGGGGTAAGAATTCGTTCCAGAAGGTTCTCCATCCGTCCATGGCATATCGCCAATTTTGTCGCCAAATGTGGCACCCTTGCCTTCCCTTGCCATTTTACGGCAACCCTAAAACTGCTTTGCGTGGAAGCCATCTTACCGTGTCTGTACATTTCGTAACAATATGTTGTTTTTAATTATTTTTAACACAATATGGCGTTAGCCCAAATGCTCTCGAAACATGGATGTGTCTGTAAGTTACAAAAAAGCCCGTTTGGGCGCAATATATAAAATCTGAAGCTCTCAATTTTTTTTTAATTACTAAAAATAAAATTTTTGAGATTAAATTTCTAATGAAATTTTTGTTCAGTACATAAAAGGAAGTGCCGGAGCTTTCTTATTTAGGGCTCGCTCCGATTAGAATTATAATTTATACCCCAAACTAAGGAGTATCGGAGCCAGCGCTATTTAAGCTCTGGATGCCACGCAAAAACATCCTCAAATTGCATTCGATGGTTGTCAAAATGGATACTTTCCTTGAAATATGGTACCTGGAATTTTTCGTAATTACAATACATCCTTTACAAGGAAGTACCAGGAAACAACTAGGACACTTTTCATAAACAACTACAGTGCTAATTAGCACGTTGCAAGGGGAATTGGATCGGATTATTTGTTTTTTAACAGCATTTACCAAGCGTTTCAGCGTCTTGACCTGCATGTATATATTGCTGAGGAAAGGGTGGGAATTCCTAGACGAAAATAATGAAATGTTAGTAAACAAAGGGATATAATTAATAAAATCATCTGATAATTATTATTTAATTCGCAATTATAAGTAAATCTTCGTTATTAATAATCCAAACAGTGCATGCGAATATATTTACAACTGTATAATCTCTACATATAATAAAAGAAAGAGTCTGTCTCTGTGTGTGTGTGTGTGTCTTTTTCGTTCCCGCTTGCGCGTAAGCTAATAGATCCCCGGCTACAAAATTTGGTACGTAGGCGCATCTAGACAAGACTCAGTGCACCTGGAAGGGATTTTTTGAAATTCGAATTCGAATTTTTTTTATTTTATGTTTTGCGACGAAATCGCATCATTTTGAAACATGATGATGGGCTATAGGAAAGTGAGATTTTACTCTACGCACTCCATTTTCACATCGTCATGAAACGTAGGCACTTAGCTATTTTACGAATTTAAAATAAATTTCGTGTCTCAATAACTCGATTCAATACGAATTTATTTAACAAAGGGAGCTTAACACCTTTTCAACGGGATTTTTTATGAAAAAGTTGGTGTCCGCCGATAACATCGCGGACGAAAACGTCGCGGAGAAAACAACGCAAGGCGAAAACGTCGTGCTACAAAACATCGTGGGCGAAAACATCGCAAAGAGAAAACATCGCAGTTCTAAAACATCGCGGTACAAAATATCGCCGTCGAAAATAAAGCGGTTCAAAAACTTCGCAGTTTAAAAACATCGTCGTCGAAAATATCGTGGTAAAAAATCGTGGTAAGTATCTTCTACAAATCATCGCATGACGATAACATCGCAGACATACTTTTTTCAGGTTTTAATAATCTGTAAATGGAATATTCCCATAATGATTTGTGAGCGCAAGATGTAAAGAAGGAAGGAGAATTTTTACTTTCACCATTTTTTTATTAACTAATAAATTTTTGCTGAAAAATGTAAGAAGGAAACTTAAAGCATAGAAAATTAAATGCAACTTATAGATTATACTTTTCATGAAAAATTACCAGTAAAAACTTTATAAAAAACGATTTATTAATGGCCTTTGTTAGTTAACTATGTCGGTTTAAAATTCTATTAAGTGCTATAAGTTGCATTAATTTTCTATGCTTAAGTTTCCTTTTTATTTTCTCAGTAAAAATTTTGATTAATAAAAAATATGAAAGTAAAAATTATCCTTCTTACCATCTTGCGCTCACAAATCATTACGGGAATATCCATTTACAATTATTAAAACCTGAAAAAAGTATGTCTGCGATGTTATCGTCATGCGATGATTTGTAGATACTTTATTTTTTACCACGATATTTTCGACGACGATGTTTTTAAACTGCGAAGTTTTTGAACCGCTTTATTTTCGACGTCGATGTTTTGTACCACGATGTTTTAGAACTGCGATGTTTTCTCTTTGCGATGTTTTCTCCCACGATGTTTTGTAGCACGACGTTTTCTCCTTGCGTTGTTTTCTCCGCGACGTTTTCGTCTGCGATGTTTTTGCCGCGATGTTTTCGGCTGTAACCAAAAAAGTTTATTTTAAAAAATGTACAGTTTATTTTTCTTTGATTTTTGGACACGTTAAACTTTATCCTTGCGACTGCTTTTACAAAAAGAATTTTGGAAAAATGATAATATTTTGTATTTTTAAAAAATTTTTTGAATGAAGCTTCCGAGTACACTTCTCACATCTCACATGTTTAAAAATGTGATTTTGGCAACCATTTTCCTGTCTTATTGTTGTTGATAGACTGTTGATGAAATCCCATTATTTTTAATAGTTTCATTCTGTTAGAAATATGGGTTTGGCAACAATTTTTGATCGTATTTCTTACGTCGCTGTTTTTAAGAGATTGGCATATTTCATTGTCATTTATATATATATATATATATATATAATACATTTTTATTGATTTTTTTTATAAAGTTGTTCTGCACAGTAAAATTCTGTGCGGAATTTTTTGTTTTTCGAGTTTCTTCCGTGTTATTTTTTTGCTTATTTCACTTTTTGTAAGATATTGAAAAGTTTTACATGATTTTTTTTTCTTCAACGGAAAGTTGGTTAATTTTTTTATTAGGATAATTAATATTTGTATTAAGGGATGTTGCTTATTTCATTGTAATTTTGTTATACGTAATAACTTTTTTTTATGAAGTTGTTCTGCAGAGTCAAATTCTACGCAGTTTTTAAATTTAACGTTTGGTGTTCCCTTCAGCCATTTTTCCGGTACATTGAAAAGCCAGACGAAGGCTGGCAGCCAAGCTGCTAGTAATACATAAAAAGAAGCACTTCAAAAATTTTCGCGTTCTATATAATTTGTCTCCATTCTGGTACCATGAATATCCATGTACACATTTTGGTAATTAAAGAACTACAATAAAAAGCAAATTATAGTTCTCTTCAAAGCTCCGTTCTACTAGTTTTATTAAAAGCACCTCTGGTGCTAAGCCCTCTATAAAAGAGAGAAATATCGAATGAGTCGTAAAAACAGCTCTTCTTTAAACAATATCTACCCTTAATACCTATAGCGCACGCTTTACTTTCCCCTTCATAATTAACGTCATTCTTGACCGCATCGTAGATGACACCGGCAAAGTGATTGCTGGGCACTGGCCTTTCTCGACGAATCCATTAAATTGGAATCGTCCACTAATTTGAAACAACAACATGTCAGGATGGTGCTATAGTCTTTCACCTGCTAAAAATCGATGTTTTAAATAAAATAAATTGTCTTTACTTTGCTAAATTCAAAAATCATAAGTGTAACAGTTTTTAAACGAATTAAATTTATATAGGTATAAATAATAAAATAATTATTTTTTAGATTTCCTATATAACTTTTGATGGAAATGTTTATTTGGTAAAAACGTGTATAAACCATTTCAGAGTTTTAAACGAGAAACTATAAGATATTTCTCTCGCCTTCTTGTCATGCCTTCGTGGTGTAATGGTCTGCACTCTCGGCGCGTATTCGAGAGGTCCGAGGTTCGTGCCCCGTCTAGTGTATTGCACATTTTTCATGTCTCCTGCTTTGAAATAACCTAATGTCTTTACAGTGGCGCCCAAATGAAAGGTGGTAGATGGTGATTCTCCACCATCAGGATTTGGCGATTGGGTGCCTAAATTCTTCCGTCTTCTTAGCATGCCTTCGGGGTGTAATGGTCAGCACACTCGGCGCGTATTCGAGACGTCCGCGGTTCGAGTCTCGGCGGGGGCATTGCTCATTTTTCACGTTTCTAGCTTCAAAAAATAACCTAACGTCTCTACAAAGAGATAGGCCCACCAGCGGCCGAGCGGTAAAATCGCTGAACACTGGTAGTTCGGTCCGAGGTTCGAATCCCGCGAACGGGCTGGCTGCATGGGCGTTTTCGTGGTTTTCCCCATGTGTAACGTGTATACGAGCCAGTTTCCCTTACAAAGTCCTCCACGAAGGCATCCCTTCTCTTAGGCAGATAGCCCTCGAGGCGTTGCCATAATCAAACACACACACACACTCTATCAGGTTCAGTGTTCCGCCTTACTTGCTTGGGGAACATTGAATAACCTGACTCGGAACAAGGAGCTTACTAAAGCTGTGTCCAATAAATGTGGGAAGTAGACAAGATACACAGGAAGGGTATACGAAACCCTTTATTTTTCACTCTTTCCAATAATTTCCGTACTTCGGAATACAGAGACCAACTACTTGTGGTCTGAACGTAAGAATATAAAAATATTAACTAAACTCTAACTTAAATTTGGAATAATAAACAAGGGCCTACGTGGAAGATTGGCCGTATATTAACAGGAAGCCGTATGTAGTACAGAGAACTGTTAACACTACAATACGTTTAAAATTATCAAGAGGATTAAACTCTGGCCTGGAAGGCAACCAGCAACCGAGTAAAACTGCTAAGGCAAGCGGCGGCCTGCTTCGACTAACTCCTTCCTCTCTCTTGCTTGGCAAAAAAGCCACAACTTAAGTACTTGGCGTTCGCCAGACAAATTTGCATAAATAAGTTAAAGCTTTTAATTCTGGCCGGAAGTAGAAAATAAGAAGTGATAGTAAAGATTTAAAATAAAAATAAACGTTAGTAAAACTTAAGATCCTTACAACTCTACAAAGAGACATCTTTTTATAATAATTATAAAGCAATACTAATCATTAGCTAAACCATTCAAAAGAAGAAATAGAAAATTCATTTATTTTTAAATTTAAATATGAAAGACATTCTACCGTATCGGTAATGAAAATGTGGCGAGCTTATGGAATAATTTAAATTCAACAATAAAGAGACGTCGGAAAGCCATTTTAGAGAGACCAGTGTTTGAATATTTTGTTATTTTAATCTCTTGAAACGTGTGCTGAATAAAGAACTCACTGTATTCTTATCATAAACAGAATCCTTAGTGAAACATGTGTTTTAAAATTGTTCTTGTCTCTTTTTTTTTTACAGTCATCCAAGGCACAGTGACTGGCTTGTTCAACAACAGAGCGCTACAGTTGACTGAGCTGACGATACGTGTTTCGCGGTACCACAGAATCAACGAACTCGACAAACTTCTAACACATTCCAACTCGACTGCCGTGCCATTCAAGTATATTGTATTGCACCGGCCTCTGAGTTGCGGTACTAGGGCCGGTACAGGAGAGTACCTGTTTCTCGGAAAATGGGTCCTTGGGAATCCAAGCTTGTACTGCATACCAAGAATCGTGGAATGGAAAAAAGTTCGAAGGAAAGCAATAATAACCGGAATGAATGAATGTTTGTTATAGCTGGGACTTCCCAGAAATTACCATTTGGGACACTGGATCTCATCATGCCAAATTCAAAACTATCGGCTTTCACTCACGCGAATGTAAATTATCTTTTGTTCACTGTATATTTAAACCAGTAACTCATACTCTAGCATAGAATGTTTGGCTGAACAGTTATTTAGAGCAGGGTTTCTTAAACTTTTTTCAGTCGCTACCCCTTTTTATCACTGAGATTTTTTCCCGACCCCCAGGATCGCATAATATTTACATAACTTTTGTGGGACCCCCGTAAGTATTGATCAAAAACATAGAAGAATGTGAAAATTTTAAGGGAACAGTGGACTTTTGGATAGAATGCATAAATTGTTTCTCCCTATAACTTTGAATCACATACTAATTTGAGATATGTTTATATTTGTCATATTTAATATTACGAGATTAAAAATAGTTAAATGATACGAAAATGTTATCTAGTGTTTACAAATTCATATTCAAAGTTAATTTGCTGTTTCCCATGATCATGTATTAAAGGTAAGTTTGAAGAAAAACTTTAAATTCGGTTTTCACAAAACAAATTTTTTGGCAGTTCCTTGAAAATGCTCCTTGCGGCTCATTTTTAGTTCAAAATGAATGATGATATTTGGAAGAAACTATCTTGTTTTATATGTTACAGTAGAAATGTGCATGCATTTTTGGATATGAGGTTATTAAGAAGTTTAAACTTTATGTGATAATGTTTAACGAAAGGTGATATTTTTCCGAAAACTGGGTTTAATTTCACAAAATTCCTTTTTAATTTTTGATTCAACATATTCAATAACGGATACACAAAATCTTTTATTAAGTCTTTGTAACTAACTTAAAGGAAAAATAAGGAAAAATATTGAAAATTAGAGCGCAAGGAGCATTTTTAATCTTTAATTAAAATAATAAATTATTTGTTTTAAAATTTTTTAATTTTAAATAAACTGAAATTTTGAACATATATTTTGTAAACTGATGTTATAATATGTATATGTGTAAAATGTCATGTTGAAAACACAAAAACTTAAAAAACTAATTTTTAAAGTCCACCGTTCCCTTTAATAAGTGCCCACCAGCGGCCGAGCGGTAAAGTCGCTGAACACTGGTAGTTCGGTCCGAGGTTCGAACCCCGTGAACGGGCTGGCTGCATGGGCGTTTTCGTGGTTTTCCCCATGTGTAACGTGTATACGAGCCAGTTTCCCTTAGAAAGTCCTCCGTGAAGGCATCCCTCCCCTTAGGCAGATAGTCCTAGTGTGCTTTGCCATAATTAAATACACCACACCCTTTAATAAGTAACAGACGAAATGACAGCGTCACGTGCAAAGCAAGGAAAATGAACGTTTATATTATAAAAAGAATGCGTCGAAATGTTTTCGTGTCTGTATTGTCTTAGCTTTATCTATTTTCCGGTACATTGTGTAAAAATATTTGGTAATTGTAAAATTATTATAATAAGGTAAAGGAATATCAAAACTGCTAAAATTTTTGGCACCACCCTGCTGCAGATCCCGTGACGACCCTAAGTTTAAGAAACCCTGATTTAGAGTACGAGTCATTTTTTGCCGCTTTTGTTTCGCACAGTAGTTAAGTGGTTATGTCCTATTTAAATTATTTTATTTTGATATATGTTAAATCATTAAATGACAAAAAATCAACAGCTACCCTATTCGGCATTGTTGTTGACATTTTCTGGGCTACATTTTTGTGACGTCACGCTTACTTCATCGGTTCTAACCTCCTTATTCTAAAAATACCCGACATACAATATTGATTTCCTCCCGCCAGTTTATTGGCATTTGGCGAAGCGTAAGATATTTCATTTTTCTTTTAAATTTAATCTGCTTGTTACTGATTACTAAACTAAGAGATTTAAAAGGAATAAACGCTGCTCCGTATCTCCTGTGGTGCTATACGAGTTTGGCTGCAATAATTAAAAGGAGACTGCGCATTACGTAAACACCGTAGAAGAAAGTTACATTTGCGCCATTGCGTAACTGTAGTTACGTTTTGTTTTTGTGAATCATGTAGTATTTTGTTCATAAAACTCCTACAGTTACTTCTCAAAAGTTTTTTATTATATGTTATTAATAAAAAAATTGCCTGCTTAGGAACATAATACTTAGGGTTTCAGAAAGTATAATTTAATGGTATTGAGTCAGCAGCATTTTTCTTGAATCGTCCACGAAAAGATTATCTCATATTTATTAAGAATATTGATGATTCACTATTTACTCTTATTTTAATTGTTAAAAAGGAGACAGGCTAACAAAAAAAGGCTCATATTTTTATAAGGAAAAAAAAAAAAAAAAAGCTCAGATTTATAAATAACGAAAGGGTAGACAAAAATAAATCAGTGAAAAATCTGAGAGTAAAGCGATGTGTAAATAACAAGTTCTGGATAAAATCGAAAGGCTAATAACAAATTCTAATGATTGAAATTTTAAGCAATTAAATGACAGTAGAAAAAAGAATAGTAACATAAAAAAACAAAAAGGAAGTAATTTAGTACTTAACCACTTGCGCTAAAAGGCCTACCAGCGGCCGAGCGGTAAAGTCACTGAACACTGGTAGTTCGGTCCGAGGTTCGAATCTCGCGAACGGGCTGGCTGCATGGCCGTTTTCGTGTTTTTCCCCATGTGTAACGTGTATACGAGCCAGTTTCCCTTAGAAAGTCCTCCACGAAGTCATCCCTTCCCTTAGGCAGATAGTCCTCGAGGCTTTGTCATAATCACACACACACACACACACACTTGTGCTAAAAAGACGTGCCACGTACGTCGAGATGCTTTTGTCTCAAACCGCGAGCGACGTGAACACCACGTCGATAGGCATTTATCGCAAAAATGAAAATAACGTGGTGCACACGTAACCTAACAACGAGATTGTTTATTTCTCGGGCTACAGCTCTGGAGTGCACGGCGTCGCATAGTAATAGATTTATAGTATTATTTTTTATCATATCAGCCCATATTGTAAAATGGAGAATAATAGTGAACTCAGTGACATAGTTTTGACAAGTGCAAGGAGAAAGCGATTAGTTAGTTCATCCGATACTGATACAGATAGCGACTGCGAGAAAATTATTTGTCCAGCTGGGAAACGGCGCAGAATTATAGTATATTGTAGCGCACGGCACCGCAACCGTGAAGTTTAGTCGTGGCGCAAGTGGTTAAACGTACGACATAAATTAGATTAAAAAGATCACTGAAGTGTGGAAAATTAAATCCCATGTTAGATGTCTTTGGTTAGCCATCATCTGCAAAGTCCTAATAATACACTGTCCTCCAAAAGTTAAGGAACAGCATGTGTTTTGTGTATAATTTGAAAATGAAGCAACATAGAAACAGGAAATTTAGAGTACATGTTCAATAAACATTCTTTAATCATTGCGACATAGAATGTTTCTAAAGTTCAGTATAAACATGAATTACAACAAAAAAAATTGCTTTCTTGGCAGAGAAATCAGTCTTGGGAACAGTACATTATAGTTTTTTGAGGAAAAATGTGCTGTAACATTACACAAATGGGTTCTAATAAGGAATTTGTCCACCCCTAGCTGCAGTACATTGGCGGCAGCGACGTTTCATGCTGTCAATTAAGTTGTTGGTCAGTAAAATGGGAAGCAACGACCAGACACGGAGTAATCCTTGCTCAAGTTCATCTAACGATTTTGGAAGAGGACTTAAAGCAGCAACCTGTCTAGCAAGGTACTCCCAAAGAATGCTGTATCGAATTCAGATGAGTCGCGCATTGTCGTCCGTCAGAAGACATCCAGGACCAATAGCAGAGACATATGGCAGACACATTGATCAAGGATTTCGTCTCGATTATCTCACACATTTCAATGTTCCTTCATGGAACTTATGCAGGTCAATGTGACTGAGAGAGATCGCAGCCTAAACCATTATTCCAACACTGTACCTTTCCACAATGGGGGATTGGTTGTATCTGGTACGTTTTTCCCTCCTGATCAGCTGACGATCTGAAACATTCTCTAGTCTTAGCATGGACTCATTCGTGAAGAGAACAGACGCCCCATAAACGGGCACCCCTACGTCCTCGGTTCAAGAGGGCGCAAACAACTAGTCTTGCATACACACCTGTATTGCGCATGCGTCTACGCACTGTTATAGCTGAGATTCTTGTTCCTGTTGCCACTAAATCTTCGTTCAGACGGGGGCGTAAAGGGCATAAGTGGTTAAAACCGAGCTCCGTTGCCAAGGCAACCAGTCTGTGCTACGTCACAAAATCTGGTTTAGGGCTCGTGGCATAGGGTTCAAAGTTTTCAACTTTACGCCGAGTTTGGGATAAGCGTCGACCAATCAGAGCGAAGCTAAAACCAAGCGGCGTTCTACAGAAGATTTCACAAAACAAGCAGCGAATTTTCGCTGTCACAAAACAAGCAGAGCGAAAGCGGGAAGTCAATCGAGCAGGAGGACAGCGCGGGAAAGTTGTAGACACGCCCACGCATGCGCAAATTTAGCTCCCATTAGCCACGGCTTACACCCCGTTCTCGCAAGTGTGAACGGAATTCCCGTATTTTATGCCCTTATGACTACGCCTTTATGTCCTTTACGCCGCCGTCTGAACGCAGCTTAAATGGTCTGCCATGAGCTGAGGCATAGTAATATCACTCCTCCTTTGGGCCGAAAAAGCTGAATACCCGTCCCTGCAGGTTTTTCTAACTCTTGGTCTGCCTGGAACATGTCTTCTAGACACATGATCTTCGGATTCAAACTGATTCCGTAGTCGTCGGTAGATCCTCCACAACGAGAGACATTTTGACGTTATCAGCACCAGCTTGTAACATCTCCATTTCCATCCGTCGGATCGCCTGCCATCTCAACGAAGCGGGTAAACGACTTCCCCTGGACATTAAGACACTCTCCTGGATATTGTCAGCGAAATTGCTTATAACAACGGAAGATCAACCCTTGTGAACAAAACTTACAATTTTTGCATTTTTTCTCCAATTCATTCAAGTATTCATTTCTATAAAATAAAAGTAGTAGATGTTGTTTTTGCACATCATGCATATATACTGTGAATTTAAATGGTACTGATATTTTTGTAATGGTGAGTTTGAAAAATGCTGTTCCTTAACTTTTGGAGGGCAGTAGCTGTTTTCTGTGTCATTTTTTCTTCCTGTTCCGTTTGTAAAATACGTTTTGTGCAGAATTTTAAAAATGCTGTCAGTTTGTGTAATACTCCGAGCATTATTGTCCAATCAGAAACCTATCAAACGATTCTTTCTGCAGAAAAAGCTGTCATTTGTCAGCTCAGAATAATTTAAATAGCACGTTCATATACCCCTATAGTCTAATTGCTCATTAGTGTTCAGAAAAGTTTCAGATGTCTGAATGGAAAGTTACTTTTAGTCTATGCGCATAAAATGTTAGACAGTTCAGTTTGATAATGCTTTCAAATGATAAAAGATGAAAATGCCTGTTCACTGCCGTGTTTCTGTCATTGTTTTCTGCTTCGATGCACTGTTTCTGCCATTATTTCTTAAATTTGTGCCATATTTTTGCTATTGTTTCTTGAAATGCAAAGTACTTTTCGATCTCATTTGTACAAAGTAGATAATGGAATGCTTTTCATTGTATAAATGTTACATTTTGTAAATACAGCCACCTTTATGCATAAAAATATTGATATATTGTCAGACCTGATTGTTTTAAATAGCACCTTATTAAAACATTCTATTTA